GGCGAGGGGACCGCCCGCGCCCCGGGCGTAGCCCCTTGGGGCACGCAGGATTTGGCAGTCTCAATATCACTGCCACGGTGCGGGGAAGGTCTCAATATACTCTCGCCGGGAGGGAGTCTCAACGCCAACTCCAAGGCGGGAGTCTTCCGCATTTTTACACTCACGCGCGAGGGTCTCACGCAGCTCCAAGGGGGCGGGATGTCTCAATTACACTTCACGTGGGAGTTTCTCCATGCACTCTACGGGTGGAGTCTCTAATCACACTTCACGGGGCGGTCTCAGATAGCACTCCACCGGGCGCAGTCTTCAACCACATCTCCACTGTGTTGCGCCGGAGTTACTCAACACACTTCCACTGGGGGGCGGCTTCTCCAATTACACTTTCACTGCGGCGGAGTCTCATGCACTCCACGGGCGGGGAGTCTCATCGTATTCTATACTGAAACATAACTCGTCGACGCAATAATCTTCGTCATCAAGGATTTGATGTCGCTGTTAGCAATTACTGTTAAGCATTTGTGCAGAATGTCGACTTTTGTTCTATTGCTGCAGATATTGCTCTTTGTTGTTCTTGTTGTGCCGATTGTTGTTCTTGTTGTAGCCGCCATGAACTCCATCATGACCTGCATCACTTGTTGAAGAGCAAACTGCCCCCCCAGCCTGCTTCCTCATCCTCGCGATTCCTTCACCCCCCTCTTAGGAGGCATTATAGCTCGTATAACTCAGTACTGCACATAAACGGCTGATGCAACCCGACTTGCTTCCGCCGAAATCACGTCACAACCAAAGTTGGCTTACCTCACCGTTATGTTATGTACAGAACGTTATCTCGTTCAAATAACAAAAAAAGAAAAAATGTAACCCATTCCTGGTCATATATCAATAAAATCCTATAGCGGCAGAGACCCCCAAAATGCGCAACCATGCAAGCAATCAATACCCTGATGCAATGTCGTAACACGCGAATACGTGAAAATAAACGCTCCAAAAATACGCCAAAATACGCCATCACGAATACACGACTCATAATATCTACTGTAACCTGGCTCACTGCCGCACCTACTGAACAACTATCGCTACCTATCTCCCTATCTCTACCGTTAGTACAGTTGAAAGCTAATCGCCACCCCATGCGACTGACTGCAAAAACAACAACCTCAAACAGCCACGAGGTGTTGAGTAATGGAATACTCGAGCTTGAGCGACAAACGCGGCTTTGACACTCAGCTGACAGACCTACTGTACGGTTCACAAGGCGTCCCCTAACGACATGCGCGATGCAAGTCGAAAACAACTATGCAGTCTACTATTGTACGCTACGTGCGCCATACAATACGTTTATCCTAGCTATTCAACGACACGATACGATACGATACTGGAAAGGTACTTAGCTTTGATGTACAGCTGTTGTCAGGGCCTCCACTCTACGTACTCGACGACCAGTTCACATCACTACATATCCTGTCGACTGCGCCAAATGTAAGGATTTGATCCTTACGTCGGTCGGTGTCCTGGTCGTCTGGTAGAATGGAGCACTTGAGTTGATCCCAGACGGTCCTTATAATATCTTGGCAGCGTGGCCTTGCCTGGCTTGCGGCCGAATCCTAGGTCGAAGCTGTGCCGTTATGATCCTGTAGATTCCGGTAGCATGGCTTCGACCCGTATGTGGCGGTAGACACCTTACACTATGTCTATATCGAACTATGTCTATATCGAACTATGTCTATATCGAACTATGTCTATATCGAACTATGTCTATTCAATCTAGGAAGTGAAGCTATAAAAACGCATAAACACTCTTCTAGACGGGCCGTATTGGTTCAAGGATAGAGAACATGGGTACCAATAAAACCAATGTCATTTACATCAATATAAATATAATATTATATCAATATATAGGTTAAAGTATGGTTAGGGTTATTGTTAGGGTTAGGGTTAGGGTTAGGGTTAGGATTAGGGTTAGGGTTAGGCACATTGGTTTTATTGGTCCCATGTTCTCTATCTTTGGGCCGTAGTATCTATACTATATAGTAATGTTAAGCAATAATGTTCAATTTTACCTGCAAATGGTGCCAAGTCTACCTCTTCCGGGCCGGGCAGGGCCAACGACAACGTCACAGAAACCAACAGCAGCGATGACAGCGTGTAGAAATGCATTGTCGCGTACAAATGACGAATATTTAAATGAACTTAGCAACATACTTTGTACGGCGTACGGTGTGGTGTGATGTCGTTCCCCACGAGTGTCACCTTTATATGCCGGTGAAAATTCCGGATGGTCAGCTAGGGTGCTTAGACCACAACCTGGCTTCTTGTTATATTTTGGGGGATGTAATTATACATATACGATATACTACTGTATGCGCGTAAAGCTTGACGCAACCTCGGCACGTCAGTAGGCGTCATTGCTGACGTAGACAGGCAGCTTCATCGAATCCTCCTTGATTCACCAAGTTATCCTTGAGCTTCCGTCGTTGTGAGCACGTGCACGTTTTGTGTGCTCTCTATGCTACATGATATACCACGACTAACGGGTATGTAAGGTGGCATATGACAGTTGTCAAGCACTCGACTCAGCGACAGAGTCACCGACAGAGTCACCTGCCGCAGCACTCACGCCAGAGTCAGCGATAGTCAGCCAGAGAGGGAGGAAGAGGCAAGACGGTCAGGACTACCGGCACCACGAGTTTCGTAGAGCGTAAGACCATTGAACTATCATGTATGATGACTGTTGTATTGTTATTGCTGGCGTCAAGTAAAGATGCTATTGTACATAGCCAATTACCGCTTGTATCCGTAATAACGTCGTTGGTTGGTCATAACGGAACGCGCCTGGCAGTCGAGGTGCACGACCCGACGTGTCGCCCCTGTGGGACGATCACGGCCTGATCAACCACCACGCCACAAGGGGGAAAGCGTTACAATATTGTCCATTATAACAATAGTTCAATGATGCTAATGCGTTTTGTTATACATCATGCATGTATCAAGCGACGCCGGAATGCGGGGACGGGTCAGCGGTGGCATCATTCTATCGATGCAGCAGCGTCCTTCAAGCGCACAAGTTTCTGCGCACAAGTTTCCTTCAGCGTACGGAAAGGCGTGCATCGCTGGTACACGGATGATGCGGTGGGACGGTGACATTCCTCCACGTCATAGCCGAACCGAAACTGCATTCACCCGGCTGGTTACACAATGATTACCATTGTTCTAAACAAGCTACGTCTGTCCGCGAAGGAGCGTTTGCGGGGATGCATAATTGTATCTGTTGCGGCGAGGACGCGAGGCAGACGGAAGCTGTGAATGCTTGCCGGACGCGCCCGCATCTCTGAG